ACGTTAGCACAAACACACATATACTCACAGGCGCACACACACACAGACACGTAACAGCATGTGTTGGGCGGAGTCACTTACAGGCACGTAAAGTGGTTGCGCAATCATGAACAGAGACAGAGGACAGTGGGTAGGCCCTCTGCAGGGTGTCCATGTTACTACGTACACTGCCTGACATGCATGAGCAGTCTCGCTCTGAACGGCCGCAATCAAAACAACATGCCAGTTTCATTCGTTTGTAGACGGACATCTTGGCTACAGTCATGTTTTGGGGATGAGAGGAGAGGAAAATCAGCAGGTTAATGGCAAGAGGAGCAAATCTTTATCCAGGGGAAGTGGGAAGGCAACGTCATCAGAGTGTTAGCCTCAGAATCACATCCCACAGACTCAAACTCCAAAAGTTCATTTTAAATTCATACCATAAAAAAATACTCTGACAAAGAACGTATGGCAGCGTCACAGACAACTTCAAGACAAAATCAGAGGGATTGAAATGTGAATCGTACGAAGTGACACTAAACGTTAGCCAAACAACTAAATATATTCAATAGTGAAGTAAATGATAAAAAGATGGTACAATAGCTATAAACTAAGTAACTAACTGAAACTACAGGTTGGGCTCAAAATGTCATCAGCCAAACAGAGGTAATGATTAAAGCTACTGACTAACAATCAGCAGAATATATATTTATTAATGTATGCATGTACAACCAGTATATTTGACCTTAAAGAGCCAATTAACACAAGGAAAGTTAGGAGAATTAAACTGCCTTCAGGCTAAAGTGTAACATTTATTATTATTTATTACAGAGCAGAGCTTCAACCACTGGACTTCTCTCTTTCACTGTCTATTATTACAGTAGAAGTTGGTTGTGACCCCACATACGATCTTTGTTGATTTTTGCTCCTTATTGTTTTTGGAGTTCAAGCTGTGAGCTAAGGCTGCAATAAGTCAAAGGCAAAACTCAAACAGTGGGAGATAAAGGAGAGGGAAAGGGGAGAGAGAAAGGGGGAGGGAGAGGGAGGGCATTCAGGGACAAAAAGGCATGAGCAATGTCTTAAGCAGCAAACCTCACACAATGTTGGGTACAGTTCATACGTACCTGTGTCACATCATGCAGCTGTAGCGTTTCTGTCCAAGGCACTATTCAACTGACTAGACTGTGGCAGAGTTCATGCTGAACCCAGAACTGTTTTTTATTCCACTGCTGCAGTTCCCGGAGGAGGCTCCACTTGAAAGTGCATGTGTGTGTGTGAAACGTTAAAGGTTTGTTTTAAAGTAACTTTAAAAAAGTCGTGTCAGACAAATGTTTTATAACAGAACGTTGTGACACGGAGAAGTCAAACAGGTTCTCTTTGTACCAGAGTCCATAGAGAAAGTCTACAATTCTATGTCCTTTTCTTGCCAAGCCTCTCAAAAGTTTCCGATCGAGTGTTTCCTCCAGTGAGAAGTTCAAATTTCTTCAAACTCTGTGTTTGAAGCCCTTCATTTGAACCAACCCATGGGTCACAAATGTGACTGAGAGTGAACCTGCTGACCAGCAGTCTTTTGTCTCTGAGAGGAAAAAAAAAGCTGATTTTCTCTATGGAGTTTGGTCCTGGGTGAGAGAAAATTGATTTTCTCTATGGAGTTTGGTCCTGGCTGAGAGAAAATGTACAAAGTGACATAAAAACATCAGTTCATTTTATTTCTAGTCAATAAAAGTCAACCTCAGTGTTTATGGGAAATCTATTTTGTCAGTCGACTCTGTGATTACTGCTTGTTATGGACTCTGAAACACAGAGTGGACCTGGATGAACTTCCTAATGTGTGGAAGTGCTTACTGTAACTACTACTCAGCCTGAGGCCAAAACACTGTGAAGCATTTACTTCATTTCCCTGAGTGTGTGTGTGTGTGTGTGTGTCTGTGTGTGAATGTCATGTGTGGAGCCTGAAACCCTCGCAGGAAGCAGCAGTGAAAGTTCCCAGAGCAGCGGTTCTACATCACTGGGACTCTGGGCAGAAACCAGTCCCCGGCTTCTCATTCTCTTCTTGTGGAGGTGAAAACCAGACATCCAGACTTCACTCTGGATGTCTGGCACCGTCACAGAGACACTCTCAGCATCTTTGACTCACTGCAGTCGCACGGGGACCAAAAATAAGGTCGTAAATGAAGTCATGCAGCTTCACTTCAGCCCGCGGCTGAAGGAGAGGAGAGAATGGGAAGCAGACGGGATTCAAAACCTGGGAGATAAAGGTTTCAGGGACTGTTCCTGTAGCATGCACTTTATCGGAGCGTTATTATGAGCGTGCAGAGAGTGACCTCTTGGTCTCGGCAGTGACACAGTGGGGGGAGACAGAAATAACTGTTCTCAGTCGTGAACAGTTCTCTGGGCGGGGGAACGGACACAGCGGTGCAGAAAGTCTTTTTTAGTTCATGCTGACTTTTTGCAACTGGTGAGGTTTTTTTTGGGTTTTTTTTTTGCATGACAAGTATTTCGGAGCACAGTGTGTTTGTGTCGCACAGGCATCACAGGTAGACGCACACAATAAGTTTTGTGTCGCACAGGCATCACAGGTAGATGCACACAATAAGTCACGTACACAGTGACACACGTACACAGACGCACACCGAGAGACACACACACGTACACACTGACACAGCGTCTTTGACCTCTGACCCCACATGTGGCCAGATCAGGGCCTGTGATAAAGATTATAAGGGACATCATTTCAGGGCATTCGTGATCAGAGATTCAACACTGCGTCCGCCCTGATCAGCTGTCTGTGTCCGTGAGACTGAATTAATAATCACTGATTCTATGACATCATCATCATCATCACATTCAAACAGAAGCTATGAGGGCACCACGTTGAATCAGGAAGAATGCTCCCTTCTGATTTCTCCCCACGTGACGTTTTCACATTAAAAAAAAACTGCAAGAAAAAAATGTGACCGTTCATTTTTAAAAAAATAATAATTTTCAACTCAATTCAATATACATGAAATATGATATAATTAAGCATTAAAATAATTTAGAGCCAACCAGCATTTACATCCAGTCATGGTGACACCATTCATTTACCTTCTCCACAGTCATTTTCAAGCACCTTTTTAGCTCCACCCTTTTTGTGTCCTGTCTATTTTACAGCTCATGTTCAGGTATTTTTAAGTCAAGTTTTTCAGCTGTTTTTAAATATTTTTGGCAATGTTTCAACTTGTATTTGTTCTTACATTGTATAATAGTTTTGGTATATTTGTTATATAGTTCAGGTCTAGATATAATTTGGTTCAGGTTTACTTTTTATGCTCAATACATGGTTCTTTTTTTGCTGTCTTTTAGCTAACATTTGGCTTTTCTTTTTTTTTTTGCTAAGCGACATCACTTTTGCGTTGCTAATTCGATTATTCAAAAGATTTAATTCAAAGAAAGATTTAACGACCACATGTAAGTGCTGGCCTGACGACAGTGGAGTCGAATCAAAGTTTAAAACTGAACTGAATTCAAACCGTCACATTTGATCCTTGCATTTTTGCTGAAGTGTTTTTTGTTAAATGGGGATCGGGTTTCCTCTACGGACATCATCACTTTCAAAACATGAACATACACATATACTGTATATAGATATATACCGGACAGGACGCTGGAAAAACACCACCATCTAGTGGTAATCTAGCGCTAAAACACGTATAAGTCAGACGTTAGTAGACTGTCCGTCCACCCAGTGCAGTGAGTGTTAACACAGAAAACATCGTGGCCAAAGAGAGTTCACATTTGAAAATGAAGGTCTGTTTGGTGATGGGGAATTTCTGAAAGCCCAGCCACGGAAAATAGGCTGAGATCACAGAGAGTTAGGAAAAAGAGGGAAGAAGGAGAGAGAGAAAGGGAGGCCAGATTGTTTTGATTGTGTTTTGGAAAAAAAAATCTAAGCTGGTTTAAAGATTTGAAGAATTTCTCCCCCACAAGGACATTTTCTGCTTTCTGACAAAACCTCCTCTGACAGAAAGCAGAGCGAATTCAAGCTCTGACTGGTTTTTGTTGGTTTTGTCTCCTCTGTGTGTGTGTGTGTGTGTGTGCGTGTCACATTTTAATGTCATTATTAACTTTATTGAGTTCTCTGGATTCTCTCTCTCTCTGGAGCCGTGACACCACAAGGAGGTCAACCACAGATCCTCAGAAGTTTGACCTCGCAAATGTCAAAAGTACCAGTTTGTCAGTCATGAGTCATTAAATATGGGTTTCCACTGCACAGTACCAGGAACTACAAGTGTCTGCAGCCACTGTCCAAAAGTACCAGGTTTCCATAGACCAGGGTTCTGTAACCTCTTTAGTCTCCCTGAACGTTTTTAGATCTTACCTAGGGTACATGTCATCAGCATGATGTCATCAAATTTTTTTTTACCTAGGGTACATGTCATCAGCATGATATAATAAAAAAAAAAATTTCTGATAAAGTTTTTCATTAAACGTTCTGAAACTTACTTAAATTTGCCCCTGGTGGTGGATCACAGTAATTAAATTACTTGTCATTTTACAACAACTAAAACTTAGGCCACGGATGGTGGCGTAATGTGCTTTCTTGGGATTTTTAAATAAAATTATAACAACCAAGTTGGAATGTTTTCTTTATCGTAAAAATGACTACTGTAGTTTGATTTATTTAGATTATAAAAATATTGTGCTGGGTATTAAAAGCCACAGCCATATAGTTCCTAGAAAATGGTTCCTGGTACTTTGTTGTGGAAACTTGTCAGCGCTGAAGCAGATTGGTCCGAGGAGGAAAGAGAAAAAAAACTCTATGGGACAACTCATGATGGAAGAAATTGAACTTGATCCAGTTTAAGTGTAGAAATGAGAGGAAGCAGCAGCTGCACTGTGACATGCAACAGAGATAAAAGTGTGACAGTGTTAACTGAGGGGGACGGGGGAGGGGGGGGACACTGGCACTGCACTTGGGAATAATGAAAACTTTTTGGTTTGGTTTGTTGGGTTTATGTTGGTTTGTTTTTTTTACTCACAATAAATCACTACCAAAGAGAAGAGTAAAATAAAGAGGAAAGTTCCAGCGGCAGCAGAGAGGAAGGAAATACATCAGAGACATGTCACAGGTTATCAAGAAACACAAGGACCTGCTGAAAACAAACCACTCTGACCATTTCAAATCTGGTTGGTAATAACAACCAATATATATAATATAACACTATAATATATATAATAATAGAATGGAATAGATATATATACAACATACATCACCGTAATACAAGTCAATCTCTACTGTGTTCATTTAATCATTTAATCTCAACTAACTGAAAAACTTTACAGCAAATATAACAATCTTATTATGAAGATAATGAAAACATACGTCTGTTTATATATATAAAAAGAGTGGTGACTTTAACATGGTGAAGGTGTTGAACCACCGGACCGAACCACGGTAGATCACAGACACAGACACGGTCCACTGTTAGAACATGGTTCCAGAATAATAACTGTCAGTCTCAGAGCTCGGGTCACTTCGTATTTATACTCACGTCGTTTGCAGCCGCACTTTTTGATCCTCTTAGGGTCTGTGATGTCATCGTGACAAGCTTTGCAGTAGTAAAAAGCTCTAAAAATGACGAGAAAAACGTCGAGAAACGTTCACATCCTTTCAAACACATCACAACAAGGCATATTCTAGAACAGTTTGTTCATCACGTGACGTGTGACGTAGCTACAACAGGTTAATCTGCTGAGAAATTAAACGGCTGTGATTGTGAATAATAAAAGTTATTGAAGGTACGATAAGGAAAATGTGTTTATCTAGTGTAAAATTGGTCAAACAGTAGGAGAACGTGTCAATAGTACTTGTTTATAAAAATGAAACGTTGTTAAAGAGACCGGCGTAAATTCGAGTCTAATTTAATGCTACATTAACGTTTTTTATGCTAGCGTTTGTT